TCAAAGGGGACAGGCTGCGGGGAGATGTATTTTTACGACAGCTCTCTGTCTGCAGATTTTCCTCCGTCACATCTCTTGCCATCTGGTTGAAGCTATCAGACAGCCAGGGAGGTGGAGCGGTGGGCATGCCTTCCACCAGGGGCGGGCTTTGGGCTCAGTGCCCCACAGGGGAGAGGCTGTCACTGCTTTGAGGAGACTGCATGCATGGCAGGCAGAGTCGCTGTCCCCCAGCCTGTCTCCCGGGTGCCTGCGAGGCTGTGAAAGGCTCAGGGATGAGCAGATGTGGGGAATGCAGCTAAGAAGGCGTGGGCAAGCCTGGAGCGGGGCCACCGGCTGGGGTGTGGCAGGCAGCGAGGGGACTGGGTTTCTGTGTCAGTGGACTACAGGGGTTACTCGTGTCTCCTGGGATAGGCCAGGCGTCACTGAGCGCATCAGGAAGCAGAATCACATCCAATGGGAGAACAGAGAGAGCTGGAGGAGGGGCGTGGCCCCGGCCCTAGGTCCTGAGTGGGGAGAAGGGGAATCCAGATGTGTACCCCAAACTTTGGTTGTTGGAATGGGAAGCCTCCAGGTACTGAGGCTTCCCTCGTCCTGGCACAGGGCTACCTTTATGCAGAGTAACCTGCCCATCTTTAGGCAGATGCTCTTAAACCCCCAATTTACTGAGGTTCCAGGCCACACAGCTAACACACACGGCAGAGCAGGGACTTGAGCCCAGGCTGACTCTCCTCACCCTGAGATTTCCTGTCCAGAAGGAATACAGGGCTGGAGAGTCTTGGGGGAGGCGGTAAGTGAGGAGGCTGCTCCTGGAAGTTAAACACATGCCTTGGAGGGAGGCCTAGGTTCCGATTCTGGCTAAGCCACTAAATCATTGTGTGGCTCCGTTCATTCGTTCATTCATTCATTAACCCTGTATACAGATATCCAATGTGCTGAGACTGGGCACTGGGGCTTCAGTGGAAATAGGAGACGCCCCACCACCACCACCTGAAGGGCACAGCTGAGCTGGAGACAGGTAAGCAGGTGATAACTGGACAGTGAGGAGTGGGGAGCCTGGATGCAGACACACCTGTGGGGCACCCCATCCAGCCTGCTGGTTAGAGGAAGCTTTCAGATGTGACGGTTAGGTGGGAGTTAGCCAGGAAAGGCAGAGAGGAGGGAGAGTGCGCCGGGCAGAGGGGACGGCCTGAACAAAGCCCGGGAGGGAGGTGAGGGGGAGAGAGGCTGGTGCCAGGAGGGCAGAAGCAGAGAGGAGTGTGAACCAGGGGTGGAGCCGGAGGGGGCTGGAAGGTGGTAAGCAAGGAGGCTGGAGAGAGGGCCTAGGTCTCTCATGAAGGAAGCTCGAGTGAGGTCGACCTCACATAGGCCCCCTCGTCTTTCTGGGCCCCAGGTTCCTCATCATAAAGAAAAACTGATATTTGTGTACATCTGACCCTTCCTGAGGCTCTTTTTCATCCGACGTCTTGTTGAGCATCAGCAGAATCTCAGGAGTTAATCATCCCCATTTCACAGATGAAAACTGAGAGGTCTGAGAGGGCGGGTGGGGCTGGGATGGAAACTCCTGTCTTCGGATTCTAATTGTCTTGTGTCCCTTCCCCTTTCTCAAAATGAGGGAGTTGGCGGGATGCTCTCTGAGGCCAAAGCTCTGGAGTCAGGGTTCAAACCCTGCTTCCGTTGCATGACCTTGAATAACATCCTTGGTGTCTCTGGACCTCAGTTTCCTCCTTTTATAAACAAAGCTATTAATAGCCTCCACCTGCTGGGGTTGAGAGAGGGTTAAATGGATGGCGCACACAGACCGCTGGGCCCAGAGCCCGGCATCGGTAAGCGCTTTGCGGCAGCTGACAGCAGCGTTGCTGTGCCAGCCTCTGGGGAGGCTGGGGCCACCTCCCTGCACCCATAGTCCTGAGCATTGAGGGTGGTGGCTCCCAGGCCCGGCTGAGACCGGGGCCCGGCAGGCAGCAGGTGTCTGGCTGTGGGCTTGGGGCACTAAGCTGCCCCCTTCCGCTCTCCCTCCTCTCCACCCCTATCTCCCCTGCCCCAACACCCTCAGGCAGAGAGTCAGATATTCTTGCTGAATCGCAGCTTTGCTCTGCCAGGTTTCTGTTCTGGGGAGAATGTCACAAGCCATACACCTCCATCTGCATCTTCCTTCCGTCCAGCTACTGCCATTTGCTGATCTGGCCCTGAGGACCTTTGCCCCAACACGCAGCCAAGGGCTCCAGCCGCCTGCATTGACAGTCTCCATTCTCCGCACCAGGCCTTGGCTGGGGGCGTTTTCCTCCATGGCCTCATACAGTCCTCAGATCCCACGACAGGCTCTTCATTATTATCCACATTTTACAAAGGGAGCGGTCAAGACTGGGAGGGGTGAGGTGTCTAACCCAGGGCCGTGGGGCCTGTGAGTGGCAATGCCAATGTTACACCCAATCTGTTCTTTATGAGAGGAGGTGTTGATGGCAATGATAAGTTGGGGGTGACAGTGATCATTTCCTAGTGCCATCCTGGGCCTTGCCAGTCTGGGGAAGGGTCTCCCACTGTGGGTTCAGAAACAGAAGGGCAGGAGGTCTGGAGCAGAGCATTGGTGGTGACCTATGTTGACCACTAGGTGTCACCCAAGTTCTAGAAAAGAGTTGGCAGTCACTTCCAGGAGGAGTCTGAAGAATGGGGGAGACAGGCGGTGATTCTCCGAGAATGCAGAAGACTGACCCAGGTCTGGGCAGAGGTGGTGGTGTAGAAATTCAGAGCTGGACAGAAGTTAAAGTGGTAAAAGTAGATTTTATCCAAGAACTATTGCAATGGGAGGAAAGAGTAGAGACGCAGGCTCAATTCTTAACAGAACAAAGAAAAGTGGGGATTTATAACTAAGGAGCAGGGTGGGGGGTTCGTGGATGGAAAATTGCTAAGAGAGTAGGGGATTCTTGCTAAACTGACCTAACAGGATTCTTTTTGGAGGCAGGTCGGGACGATCAGTGTCGACTGAAATAAAATGCACAGCCTAAAAGTTGAGAGCTGTGCTTTATGCTGTGGGCATTTCTGAGGACTCAGACCACTTGAGTCTGGGATGGCGGCCCCTCAGATCACCCTGAGGGACTGCTCTGAAGAGGCAGAGGAGGAGGCAGGATAGATAGGAGTTTTTACCACAAAGACGAGCTAGTCGGAGCATCAAAAGATTACTGTTAATTAAAGAAAACCAGGCATCTCAAGTTAAAAATTTTAGCACTTTTCTATATGTGGGAAGGTGCAAATGTCTGGGCTCATTGAAACCACTCCTTTGACAGGCACCTGGCTAGCTAGGGCCAGTATCCTGTTCTTTCACATGCTGAGTTCTCTCAGGGTGCTCGCTGGATGCAGTGGCTGCAGAGACCAGCCTGACTGCTTATTTGCATCCTGAGCTCACTGTCGGGGGTGGCAGTACCAGCTGATGACTTGACAGTCTCAGCACTTTTTGTGTACTGATATGGCTGGCAATATTTTTCATTCACATCAGCTATCACCTGGACATTGGTGGGAGGGGGTGAGGAATTTGATATTGAGGGAGGGTAGAGATTCTCACTAAACTGATACAGCAAAATTCTTTCTAAAACTGGGTGATGCAAAGACAAGCCCAAAAGTTGAGGCCAAGTTGAGAAGAGGTCTCAGAGGAGCCTCATTAAGTCTGGTCTAAGAGAATCTTTGCCAATCCCTCCTCTTATTGAAGGAAAAAAGAGAAGACTTTCTTTCCTCTGAACAATGAGTGCATTTCTCAATCGGTCATTTTTTGTTCATTAGTGGCCAGTGGCACCATCTGTTGAGACTTGGTAGTAGAGGGTATTTAGTGGATGGTGTGAACTATCAAGTATTTGAATGAGGTGGGGGGTTCTATGGGGAAAAAAAAGAAAAAGAAAAACAAAGATTAAGGATTGGAGCAGACTAAACGCAGTTTCTGAGTCCAGAGGGCAGCCAGTTGAGACCTCTGGATGTTGAGCTTCAAGCATCTTTAGACGGTGAGGTGAGGACAGCAGTGGAAATCCAGCGGTCTTCCTGGTTTGCAATTTGCATCATCTTTGGTGACGGTACAGACATAGCTGCCACAGTCCTGTTTGTTTCTTGGAGCAGAGCATAGGGACATCCAGCTTCAGCTTATAGGGCTTACAAGGTCGCTGTAAGAATCCAGGTACATGTGTGGAATCTTAAAAAATAAAAGAGAAAAAAATACAAAACAGAAACAGACTCATAGACATAGAATACAAACTTGTGGTTGCCAAGGGGGAGAGGGGTGGAAAGGGATAGCCTGGGAGTTTGAAATTTGTAGATACTGATAGGTATATATAGAATAGATAGACAAGATTATACTGTATAGCACAGAGAAATATATACAAGATCTTGTGGTAGCTGACAGTGAAAAAGAATGCAACAATGAATCTACGTATGTTCACGTGTAACTGAAAAGTTGTGCTCTACGTTGGAAATTGACACAACATTGTAAACTGACTATAACTCAATTAAAAAAAAAATGAAAAATAGAATCCGGGAAGCTGGGTTTTAGTTCTCAGTGACTCCAAGTCAAGAAGGTGGGAGGAAACATTAATTTGAAGAGTCATAGCCAGATTTTGGAGGCAACGAGTAGAAAACGTGCAGGATGGCAGGACCCGTTGCAGTGGACCGGCAGACGACAAAGCAGAAACGGAAACGGAGTCCGACTGAAAGGTGAAAAGTAGCTGAATGACAATGACCAAGACTGATAATCCATGATGGTGCACTGTAGTTTCCCACTGAAGCATGGAGAACGGATCTTTGTAGTCACCCTTCTTTTGGACTCCTGCCTACAAAATGAATCTGATCTCATTAGATCTGGTATGATTCTTTATATAAGGGCAGTCAGAATGATAATTGACCATTTTGAGTTTGCTTTGCCGAAACATTTCACAAGGAATCTCAGACTGGACTTTTAAAAGCCTCCCAAGGCTAGGAAGCCAAGCCAGAAACTCACCACCAGATGCTTCTTGTAAAACCGATAGATCTGAGTGACATTCTCTCCTCCTTGAGGTCCCCAGGGTACCCTAAGCTTCCTGGGCCTGCAAGGAAGTGAACGTCCTTACTCACCTGCAACTATGGAGCCCTGTAAGCCCTGAAGCTGGTTTTTCCAAGAGAACTTTGTAAGCGCTGGCTCCATAAAGTCAACCCTAGGTCCTTAAAACTGTCTGGTTGTATCTGATTCTACGCCCATCGTTCCAATACGACATTCCAGCCAAAGCCTTGGTAATGGCAGTGGTAATATAACCAATGTTTCCAATTATGTCCTATTAGAAGGAAAACATATTCTTATTGAATTTATGCAAATAATTGCATTGTCATGAAAATAAGAATACTCAGTACTCAGTAAAAGTTTCCAAATTCTGGAGGGGTCAGGCAAGAAAAAAAGATAAATGTTTCATTTCTCTTTGTGAAAGTATAGTCTACTAAACTGTCATGAGTTATAGATATCTTAAAAGAGGAGGAAGTCCCTAAAATTCAGAAAATAGAACGTTAGAGAACGAGCAATGTTCCCAAGAAAAACCGTAATTATCCTTCATTGGTTCAATCAGTTCCATGCAGTTGATTTTTGCTCTGCTTGATGTTGGGGGTTAGCAGTCTTATGAGTCGCGGTCAGATTCTCTAGTAGTTCTGGAAGTCTTTACTCAGTCCAGTGGTATTATCTGAAATGTATTCAATGTCATCAGAAGCCTGTTCCCCAGAGTACCTGTCACAGTCGCTTCCTTGCGTGTCTGAAACAGGCCTTTCTGTTGAGGATGAAGCATTTTAGCTGCTAGCTGATTGCATGAGCTTTCAGGAAGACGCCAAAGGAAAAGAACAACTATCTGTTAATGACAAAAGGCTTAAAATGTCTGTGGTTAAAGGTCTGATGAGAGTTGATTATAATGCAATTGACAAGGAAACTTATTTGATTGTCTCTGTGACATACAACATATTAAGATAAGAACTGGAATTTTGACTGATAACATTATACCAGGAGAGTTCATGAATAACAAGGGCATTGATAAGTTTCTATAAACTTCATATAATTTCTAAAATATTTACATTAATTAAAAAGATTTACCTGTCCACGTATAACTTAGGAAAAGCTCAAGTATCTCTTCTTATTTGACAGTGCCTGTCATGCAATTTAACATTATCATATTATCATATAAACCAAGTTATTTTTAACTCCTCTCTTCATACAGGGTGAAAGAACAAATCCTTTGCGATGTTCCAAGGCCCTTCTGGAAAGGGCCAGTTTGAGGTCAGTTTGAGATCAAGAATCCCTTCAGGATTTGATTTTGGGAAAGCAGAATTGTCAAAAACATAAAAATAAAACAAAACAAAAAAGTTAGCTCTTTTAAAAGTGAGAAGCCTGTGTTCTCTTAAATAATCAGTGACATGGTACAGTTAATATAAGTACAGGAAATTAATCTGATAAAACACAAAATCTTCATTTCCTAGGCAGTTTACTCAAAACGTAAAGAAAAACACTTTACAATCTCTTTTTAAGAGCAGACCAATAATCCAAGAAAACTTTGCTGTTTTAACAGAGAGGAAGCCAAACTCTAGTTTTGCTTCAGTACACTATTCGGCTTATTTTTTAAAACCTTATAAATAAATCAATTCAATCTCAGCCAGCTTAATAACACGTAAAATTCCTTTCCCATAAGTCGTCTACAACTTTCTATATCTATTCTAATTTTTTTTGGTTTTAAATTTTTCTCTTTCTCATTCTGGAACAACTTTTAAACAACCTCTAAACAACTACTTTAAGACAAAAATCACAATCCTTTTTCCTTAAAAACATATCCTCCATTTTGCATATTTTGCATAGTTTTTTCTTCGCCTTTATTATTTGTAGTAGCTTCATTTACATATACTGATTAGAATCCTTAACCCTTAGTAACCTTAATTGCCAGTGAAAATGAGGAAATAGACAATTATCAACAATATCAACATTCTACAATAAATAAGCAAATTTTGCGAATATGCCCATCTTATAATTCCTGAAACAGTCTGCTTCCTCAAGGGCAACTTCTCATGTTTATTTAACAGATCCAAATATATGTCTCTATACCGTATAAAAATAAGAACCAAAAGTATATGAGCTTAAACTTGTGCTTAGTAATTCATGTTTTAGTAGTTTATCTTAGGAATGATCTAGACACTTAGTGAATATCTATTACTTAATTTAGCATAACTCTAAGGTGGCAAGTTACTAGAAAGATTTAGAAAGTGTTTTTAGGCAGACACATTATAACATTAAGCAAAGCTAGCCATCACCCCAAGTTATTTCCCTCTTATCTATTTTTACAGCCCATGCACGTTAGGCAAGTTCCGTAACAGCAAAAATCTAACAAAGTTAAAGACACAGGTTCTCTGTTTTACTGCTATGCTTAATCAAGATGAAGTCATGGATATCAAGCAATTCATTTTTACTGCGTTTTTACTTGTGCATTTGTTTTTAGGCTGAATTGATCATTTTTGTTGTTGTAAACGTTTAGTGGATAAGACATTACCCTGTTGAACTACTAACCCCAAGTAGAATAAAACGTATGCTTATGTTACACTTTAATGTTGATGACTCGAAGACACAGCTGTTTTTATTAAATCAATAATATGAAACTGGTCTTATTTATCAAAGATTTGCTCAAATCCTATGAACTTTTAAATTATCTTGGTTAATATCTATATTTCAGGGTGTTTTAGAAATAGTTAAGTGTTTATCTCTAAGCCATTTTTGAATAGGACTCCTTTAAGAGATTAATTTGGCAATACCATCTTGAGTAGAAAAATATCACATATACGTTACATATATACATAAATACGTACACACATGCACACACATACCGACAGCAGAGTCCTCACAGGTTTCATTCCAAAATTTTAGCCATGAATCAATAAAACCATGATACAAACCACTGGTTTGTATACAATAGTTGGATCTCCTCTTTGCTTCACTTTGTATTTTTGTCTGAATTGTGTTTCTGGCAGATACGGCGAGCTGAGATTACTTATTCAGTATGAGGGCTAAAGCTTTGTGCCAATAATTGTGGAGGAGGCCTTTAAGGTTTTCATTTGCCCTGATATGTAATCTTAAGGAGGCTGTGGATTACATTTTAAGTGAGAGATGAGGGACATCAAAGCAGCTGCCTGGATGTCTCCAAAGCCCGTGTGAGTGGACAATATATCCTGCCTGCTTCCTTTTCAGCCCCAGTTGCTTATAGAGGTCCCTGAGTCCCTTGAAAGCCCCCGATTGAGAGGCAAGGGAGCCAAATATTTAAGGGACTGAGGGTCTGGAATGTGATGGGAAGGTCTGGCAGGTAGACGGAGGGTTGGAGAGGGTAGGGATGAAGGGGGTCTCAAAGGAACTGAAGGGAAGATGGAAGGTGTGAGAGGGGGAGCTGGGAAGGAGGAAGTCTTGGAGGAGCCAGTCTGGGGATACCTCAAGTTTCCCAAAGAAGCCAGTGAAATTCTAAATTCCGCAGAGTTTCAAAAGGAGGGCTTCAGTCGACTGAGGAATTCTCATGGGAGAAGCAGGATCAAACAGAGAAAACAGAAAAGCCTCACAAAGAGCCACGAAAAATTCTCCAGCCTGAGGAGTCAGAGAGTGAATCCTGGCTCAAAAGAAAGAACCAGAAAGAGAGTCCCAGCCCAGTGGGTGCCTTTCAGACAAAGCAGTCTGGAACTCCAATCAAGCTTCAGAGACAGTAAACTCAGAATCCTGAGAATCAGCCTCAGCAGACAGTCATCCAGAGCATGGGCTCCGGAGTTGGGCTCACACTAGATCCCTGATCAGCCCATCAGGAGTGAATACAAAGGTGCCCACTTAGGGTCTTGGGTGAAAGGTGTCGACTGGGAAAAAAAACACACAACATGAGAGCTGTGTTAAGTTTTATTTGGGGGCAAAATAAGGACTCTAGCCCAGGAGACAGCGTCTCAGATAGCTCTGAGGAGATGCTCCGAAGAGGGAAGAGGGATGAGGGAAGGTTAGCAAAGGGTGTGATTTTGGGAAGGGGGAGCCTTGCAGTCAGGCTGACATTCTGGCAGAAGGTTACTGCTCGTCATGGTGAGCAGACGTCTCTGTGAATGATTTTAGTGCTTGTCTAGATATGAGAAGAGGCAAGAAATTGGGCTCATAAAATCTTCTCCTGAAAACATCTAACCATCTGAAGGCCTGTTCTGCCAGTTTTTCCCAGAGCACAGAGCACCACAGTCCTGACCTCAGCCCTGAACTCCCTTCAGGGGGCGCCGAAGGTGGCTCGTGACTTCATCCTGGCGGAACCACATGACAAGAGACAATTTTTATTTGGCAGAGGTCTGGGGGTCCAGTGGTGCGTCTGATTTCATCTGAGCCACGACCCCTAGAAAACCAGAGCTGGACAGTAGTTTAAGTGGCAAAAACAGATTTTATTCAAGAATTATTGCAATCGGGGCCAGTACGGAATTGGGCTTAATTCCAAATACAATTTCAAATGCTCACTTCTCTTAAGTAGGGATTTATAGCCAGTGAAGGGGTGGTGGATTAAAAATTGCTGAAAGGATAGGGGATTCTTGCTAAACTGGCCTAACAGGTTTCTTGCAGAAGGCAGGTCAATGGGATCGGATGTCACCTGGGGAAAAGTGGAGGATGAGGCATTTGATCAGATTTCGAGGGCGGGTGGGGATTCTCACCAAACTGACGTAGCAGGATTCTTACTAAAACTGGGCAGTGGAAACCCAAAGGCCGAGTTGAGAGAAGGTCTCCTAGGAACCTCAGTAAATTTCGGTCAAGGGGAGAGCCTTTGTCAGTGGCAGCCCCCAGAGCAGCACAAAACAAGCATAATCCCCCCTTCAAGCTTTAGCATGAAGACCCCACCAACTTGCAAGGAGTCTTGAGGAGGGAGAGGCCACACAGACTGCAGAAACAGAGACCTTTCCCCCAAAACTGTGACCCCCATTTCTCCTCACCACCTCCAGAGGCAGCAAATACGCCATCCCAGCTCCACCCCGTTCCCTTGGAGACTCTTCCAGGATCGCCACGGACACACTGGCGGCTCCATCCTCTGTGCCCCGCCGACATCACTTGGCACCATGTGTCAAGGTTAACGGCCCACACGTCTGCCTCCCCCTCCTAGGCTGTGGGCTTCCTGCGGGCAGAGGCTGTGTCTGATTGTGGTGTGCCGCCCGAACCCAGCATCATGTCTGGTCCATAGGAGACCATGGCGATACGTCCATTGAATGAATGAACCAATGAACAATCGTGTCCAGAGGTTTTTAAACTTTTAGCTGAATAGTCTCTTTTTTTCCTTAAGTAGCTCACGTCAAGTCTCAATATGTAACACAGGAAAAGCAGGACTGCTCACGGGAGAATGAGTTGGGGGCACAGACCCCCATCTGCTCGGCCTCCCCTTCCATGGACATCACCCTTGAATGTCTCCAGGCAAACCCACAGCTTTGGGGAGCATCTGAAACAGCTGCTCTGGTTGTTCTGCACATTGGGAAACTGATGCCCATCCCAGGGAAGGGCCCTGAGTCAGAAAAGCGGCCAAGGCCAGGACCCAGGACCTGGCACCTTGCTGGACTGTCAGGTGCTTGTCTCACTGGCCCTAGCTGCCCGAGTCACCATTAAGAAGCTGTGAGGAGATGACATTAAAAGTCAGATGCTGAGGATTCAGATCCTAGCCCCACCACTAATGACCTGTGTGACTTTGGGCAAGTTCCTTTCCCTCTCTGGGCCTCAGTTGTTCCACAGAAAAGGATGGGGTGGAGGGCGAGTACTGTGGAGAACGATGCCTGACAAGCACTCAGCCCAGTTGTTATCATCGTCCTACTGCTGGACCCCAGCCCCACTTTCCAACCCTGACGGAGGGCCGCTTCGCACAGGAGGGGAAGAGGAAGGGGACAGCTGCTGGGTGTCGGGGAAGTCACATCCCCAGAGCTGGAGAGCCAGGCGGGAGTCACTGTGCCCTCCCCTGATGCCTGGCCGGTGGGTGCCGTGCCAAGGAGGACCCACAGGGGGCAGCGGAGGCAGAAGGATTTATTAGTTTGAGGAGGGGGAAATCTCTGCAGGTCGCCGCATCCAGGAGAGTCTGGGGTGAGGTGGGGGGCAGGCAGAACCCCTTAGCAGAAGAATCTCATCCCAACACCCAGACTTTCAGGAGAGGGTATGTGTGCGCGTGTGGAGGGGCACAGCCAGAGCCCTGGGCTCCCACAGGTAAGGGGCCGAGGCCTCTGCAGTCCCCACCGCCAGGGGGACTCCGGGTGCACCGTCCTGAATCCTCGCTTGCTTGGAAAGGCCTTTAGCTCAGAGAAGGGGGTCCGCCCAGGACAGTGAGGAGAAGGTGGTTTGTTAGCTGGGTTCTTGAGAGGGTCTCAGTGACTGGGCACGTCGGGTCAGGACACACAGGGGACCACAGCCGTCACACACCATAGCCAGTAGGACAGCAGGAGATGAGCAGCGGAAAGGCCCCCTCCCACACACAGCGACAGGTGACCTAGCCAGCGGCCTCACCCTCAGTCCCCAAGGCTGATGTTCTAGACGCTGCGGTTTGGCGGAGCTCCGTCCAGCCCTGCCGTCTTTTTCATAGCTGTTTTCTCCACCCCCGCACCCCTGCTGGCCCCCACTCTTCTTGACTGTCCCTTCCTCTCAGCCGGTGGTCCTCAGGGGCCCAGGGCAGGCCGAGCTTCCTGGCGGATGTTCTCGGTGTCCAGGTGGGTTGCAGCGCTGTCAGTGGGTCCTTGGGGTTGACACCAGATGAAGGCAGAAGGCGGGGTGAGGCAGGACACGCCGGTGGCTTGGAGGCCGCTGACCCTGAGGTCAAGAGGTGAGACGAGGAATGATAGGGGAGGGCGTACCTGGGGAAACAACAGTGCTGGGGCAGAGTCAGGAAAGCTGGCCCATCGAGGCCTGATCCTTCTCCTCTCCTGCCCGCAATCCCACAGGTCCCAATGGGAACCCGGGCCCCAAGGGGACCCTGCACCCCAAGGGACCCCTGTACCCCAAGGCTCTCTACCCGCTTCTCCTGCTGAGACTACTCTGGCCTGGATGTCTAGTCCTCAGCTGTCTCACCAATCTCCCACTTTCTCCCCTCCCATCCCTCTTCACATCCTGCCCCCTTCCTCCTGCCTTCTGGAATCTTCCCCATGGGCCTCCCGCCTGGACCTGGGCCCTCCTGCCTTTGTTTCAGTCTTCACCGAAGCAGGTCTCAGTCCTCGGTCTCCTCCCCATCGAGAGGGCTCCTGTCGCCAGCTGCCCAGGGAGGGAGGGTTCTGGACCTTCCATCCCCTTGCCTGGCTGCCGCCCAGGGGGTCTTAGGGGCCCGGGCCTTGCTCCCCTCCCAAGTTTGTCAGGGACTCAGGGAGCAAGCAGTCAGGGCTCTCCTCAGAGCAGCTCCACGTTGCAGGGCAGGCCGTGGCCAGGCTGTGCCTCTGACATTAGTGGGTGGGCGGGGGAGGCAGGAGGACCCGAGTGATGGGGTCGTATTTGGGCGGGCCTCCATTTCCGTCCCCATGTACCTAGGGGAGTGCACGTGGGTTCTGCCAGTGCCTGGGAGCCTGCTCTGAGGCACTCTGGGGAACTGAGGCCAGGCTTCAAGGCTGGGATACTAAGCACCAAGGCTGTCCTGTGTGTGTAGGCCGGGACTTCCGCACTGCCTTGGGAAGGCCAGGATGGGGCCACCTGCTCTTTAATGGGGCTCTCGAGAGCTTCGAGGCCCTCAAAGCAGGGGTCACTCTAAGTCATCCTGTGGGAGCAGCCAAGGGGACCCCAGTACCCAGGCCTTATGAGCAGCACTCTGCCTGCCTGGGAACCTGGATCCTAGGATGTCCCAAGCTCTGGGCCAGTGTCGGCTGCCCTGGGTCTGGGTCTCTAAGACTGGGGACCCAGCCCTGATGGCCTGGCTGTGGAAGTCAAGCTCAGAGGCCCCCAGTCCCTCTCAGGCCTTGACTTCCAAATTCTGGAAAGGCCCCAACAGGCCACATGCTCCCTGCCGTGTCCAGGATGAAGCCACCCCCGGTGCTGGGCTGAGGGACCCTGGTGGCCACGGTCAGGGGCCAGGCCTTTCTGAGTCCTCTGAGAGCCAATCTCACTGGAGGGCTCCAAGGTGGAGGCAGCGGGGCAGCCTGGGGCTCCCGACCTGCCCCCGCCTCCACCTGCTCCATCCCTCTGGTCCCCGGAGCCAGAACAGCCTGCACCCTTTTCTCTGTCAGGCCCCGGGGGCACTAGGGAGGTGTGGGGGGTGCCGGGAAGCCGTCCTCGGGGGGCGGCTCGTAGACGCTGCAGTTGGGCGTGGGGCCCTGGCAGTAGATGTTGAGGTAGTTGCGATGCTGTTCGTTGTACTTCTGCTTCTGGAGGCACAGAACCACACTCTTGTCACACTCGCACGTCTGCATGTCACACTCCGTCTGGTTGAACTTGCCTACGGGGAGCGGAGCGCATGGACTCGGAGGCTGCAGACGGCCTGGGAAGGTGGCCCCGGGCCGGCAGCACCGGCCCCCCCCCCGGCGGGCCCACCCCGGGTCTGCAGCATCTGCAGGCCGCGGCTCTGCGTTGCGACTCAGCCAGCTGCGTTCCCAGCCCTCCAGGTGCCCCTGGTGCGTGTTGAGCAGAGAACCACTGAAGCCCAACGTGACAACATCGTGGGACCGCTGGGGAAACTGAGCCCTGAGGAGGGGTAGGGTTTACCTAAGTCACCCGGGTAAACCCAAGGCACAGCCGGGACAGAAACTCAGGTGTCAGGAACTCCTCACCCCAGGCCAGTTACTGTCTACCATTCTAGGCCATCTCTCTTCAAGCACAGAATCACAGAACACTCACCCAGGAAGGAGTTTGTGGTAAGGACAGAGTGAGAAAAACATTTGTAAAGAGCATAGCTCAGTGCCTTGCATGGAGCAAATGCTTAATATCTGGTAACTGCTTTTATTCTACTGGCCTTCAGAAAGCATCTACCCTGGCAGTTTGCAGCCTGAGATGGGCCTTAGAATCACCTGGCACGGCGCAACCCCACCCCTAGAGCTTCAGATTCCGTAGGTCTGGGCGGGGCCTGATAATTGCGTTTCTAACAGTGGTGCTGATGCTGCAGGGTCAGGGAACACCCTTGGAGAACCACCCACTCGCCCAGTGATTTGCAAACTTTCAAACTTTCCATCAGCAGAATCCTCGCTCTTAAATGAACCTCTTTGCAAAAGACTAATGTATCAAACAGTTGAGAGAGAAGCCACTCGAGCTATCAAATACTTTAAAGAGCAAGGACCACTCAGGGACACCCACCCGTCACTTCTTGCAGCAGCTGACCTGATGCCCCCAGAAATCCCCAGAGCCCTCCGTGAAAACCGCTGCTTAGGTCAGTCCACTGTTTTGGGCGAGGAGGAAGATTCCTCTCCTTGAACTGCTTGATGAACCCCTCCTGAACTCCTCTCTCAAGCTGGCCCCTCCACCCACACTTGAACATACGAAGGGCACACAGCCTTGGGCTGCCAAGGCGCCCCAGATGTGCCCAGTTCCCCCTCCAGACTCTTTCCCAGAGAACAGGAGTCTTGAGTTTCTTTGCAAAGCTGGCCTTGCTTGGGAGCTGTTAGTGACGGACAACACAGAGCCTGGGTGAGACAGGGAGACAAAGGGAGGCCCGGCTGCCTGTGGGGCTGCGTCAGGGGGCACCTGCTGCCCCAGGGAAGTAGGGCAGGGCAAGGACACCTGGGCTGCCAGCTTGGCTCCTGCGCCCCTCAGGTGAGGAATGACTGACCATGGAGAGTCCACAGTAAAGGAGGGAGTCCTGCCAGGCCTGACTCCAGCACCTCAAACCCCTAGGGGTCCTAGGATGGGACCGCTGCACCTGGTGGCTCCCAATGACAGAACTAAAAGGGAACGGGTCTGCTCAGAGTCAAACTCCTCAATGTGCCCATGGGGAGACTGCAGCCAGGCGAGGAGACGCTGGCAGAACTGGGCTCCAACCCAGGTCTCCCACATCCCAGTCAGCATGACACAAAATCTCAGAATCGCTCAAGGATCTGATTAAAGACAGAGAGTCCTGGGCCCCACCCAGAACTGACCCACTGAACCCAGATCACTTCCTAAGCTCCCCAAAGCGTAAGCAGCTCTGGGACTAGGGAACCAGGGTGCCAACGCGGGCCTGGGGGCTCAGAGCGCATCAGGGAGGCGTGCCAGAGCCCAGCCAGGGGCGTCAGATTTAGTGAGCGAACAAACCCAAACAAGATGCCTGGCTAAATCTGAATTCCAGACGAGAAATGTTTCACTGTAAGCATATCCCAAATAGTGCGTGGGATCTACTTACGCTGATTCTTAATTCTATGCTAACATTTAATTTTTGGCATAAGTACATCCCATGCAATATTTAGGATATAATTATATGAAAACATTTTTCATTGTTTAGCTGAAATTCGAATTTCGCTGGGCATGCTGTATTTCACCCGGCAGCCCTGCGCACAGCCCCAGCGCAGGCTGGGTGGGCTGGCGGTCCGCGCCGTCCTTGGGGGTCGGGGCCTGGGGTGGGGGCAGTGGCGGGGGCGGGACTCACTGCAGATAATGTCGGTGTTGTTCTCGATGGTGTAGTCATAGTGGTCCACGTAGGTGTGGCAGCCCAGATCAAAGAGCTTCTGGTAGCAGCAGTCGTGGGCATGGCAGCACCTAGGGGCGGGAGAGGAGAGCACGCAGGTGTAGCCTGGCCCACCTCCCACTGGCAGTGACCCCTATCATCAGCATCTCTTCTAGTCCCTCATCAGTCAGACCTTCAGAGTGAGGCCCAGACAGGGCAGTTACTTGCCTGAGGCCACACAGCCAGGCAGAGCCAGGCCAGCGCCCCGGGTTCTTGCCCACAATCGTGCCTCTTTGTCCTATGCCCAGAGCTCCAGCTCCACCCCCCATCCCCCCCCACCCCCCCGATCGTGGCTGTAGCTGCGGTGGGGAGCGGGGCTTGTGGTCAGGGTGGGAGGCAGCGGCCTGGGTTAAGTCAGCGTAGGAGGAGACCAGCTGGATGCTGCTGGCCAGGGAGGGACAAGGGTCTGGAGGGTTAAGTGGGGACTGGGGGCATGGGGACTGGAAGCAAGTGTGGTGTGGCCACCTGTCCCCTGGTGGAGGGCAGGCAATTAGTCAACAAACATTTTTTAAGTCCCCGGTGATAGCAGACTTGGTGCTGGCTGCTTTGCAGGGAGAGAGGGGCGGGAGCTAAGCCATGGCTTCCGGAAGCTCACGGTCTGATGGAGGAAGCACAGGGCCCCAGAGCCTCCAGTCTGAGGGGGCAGAGGTCACGGCCCTTGCCTCTGTCAAGCACGAGCTGTGTGAGTGTTCTCACGTGTATTTAGGATTTAGGTCAAAGGTTCCCTCCAGTGAGAACGGAAGTTGAAATGCGTCCAAGACTGAGACCTTGGAGATGGACAAGAGAAAGTGTCCTAGACAGTTGAGAAGGACACAGTTCAAATGTCAGGCTTCTGGCCACTGACTCATTGATGAAGCCGCCTCCTTGGGGAAGGGCCCCCTCCCACCTCTCAGAGATGGAGGAAGTCTGACCTCCGCTGCCCCCGCCCGGTTCTGACAGCAGCCCAGACACCCTGGGACCTACCAGTCCACCTCGTCCACGGGCAGGCCGTGCCCCCCCAGCCCGCAGTAGCAGCCATAGCCCACGAAGGACAGGATGGCGTTCCTCCCGGTGATGGCTTCCACCATGGACTTGAGGTTTAATAGGCTGCTGTGGGTCTCAGGCAGAACTACGAGAGAGGACGAGAGAACAGAGGGGATGCTGTGAACTCCCTGCCCTGTGCGTGGCTGCTCCTGTCTGACTGGCTGCCTTCCCAACACCCCAGGGCGGGGGAAAAGGGGAAGGGAGACGGGGAACAGGAGAGAGAAGCAATCAACAAGCACCCTGTGCGGCGTACTCGTCCTTACGTTAAGCACCATGAACCCGAGAATATAATAATAGTTTTTCCTGAGGGCATCTTTGTGCCAAGCACTGTCCTGTGCCCCTTCTAGGCATTAAACTCATCAAGTGTTCCCCATAACCCTATGAGGTATGGAAATTAGCCCCATTTTACAGATGAGAAGACTGAGGCCCAGGGCAATAAGTAACATGCCCAAGAACATTGTTGAAAAGCAGTGGAGGTGGAATTTGGACCCAGGCAGCGAGAGCCGCAGTACTTGTACACCCTGAGGGGCCTGCAAATGCTACATGTTTCTCTGAACACAATTCTGGGCCCTTCTGGCCTGGTCTGGCTCCTCTGCTCCCCGTGGGGACTCAGCATCCTGGGGCC